GCACACCTCAGCCACCACAATGCGCACGACCAGACCACCACTGTGAGCCATAGCCATGTCCACACCAAAGCCTTCACACACACACCCACGCCATGTTAGTCACATCAGACCAGGGGACCCATCACACTGTGCCCTGGGGTCACCCCCTCTGCCTGCAGTGCATATTTCCCCCCTGGCTCGCTGAGGTGAGGGGTGGACGGAGCCCCTCCCTTCCATCCTGTCTGCGTTGGGGCAGCCCCTTTAGGGGCAGAGGGCACAGCACCCAACACACCCGCCCTGCCCAGGGCCGGGCAGGGTGGCCCGGGACAGCCAGGAGGGTGGAAGGAGGTAGAAGTCGGCGGCAAAGCATGGCGGCGGCAGCAGCAGAGGCTGGAGAGAGGCTGACCCTTGGTGCCAGCCCCACGCCACTCACCCGTGGCCTCTTGGCGAGCGGTCAGCGGAAGGTGAGCAGGAAGATGAGCACGACGTTGATGAAGACCAGGAGCGCCAGCACCGCGGCCACCGCCAGGCGCTGGGCGCCGGGCGTCAGGTTGCACCGCAGCAGGGCGTGCAGGGCGCTGCCCCGCGGGGCGCGGCGGGGGCCCTAGCGAGCGGGCACTATTGCTGGCCTTACCTGGGCACGTCGTCCCCCGCACCCGGCGCCTCCTGCAGCCCCGGCTCGGCGGAGGCCACTGGGTCGGCACCTCGACCGTCCCGCATCTGTTTGCTATGTTGCCTTTTGGAGACAAAACGAGGTACTTGCTCGGGCATCTGCCCACCCTCACTTTTCGCGGGGCGCGGTGGGGACCGGTTCGCACCGACGGAGCGATGCCTCCTTGAAAGTGAACGGCAGGATCATTTGGTCTTTATGCTCTTGTGGCTGTGTGACTTGGGGGTCTAGATGGGGTTCCTTTCGACCCCGTCTTTTGTAACGAAGGTTCAAGAGTTGGTGGCGGCTTGGTCACTTTCCGCCTTGTTGCTTTTTGGAGGAGACGAATCTTGCTCTCTTTCGCTGGAGCCCGCTACTGCGCTCCTTTCTCTCCCCGCCCCACTGCCCGTCCTTCTGCCTTCTTCCTTACAAAATTCCAAGCCTGGAGCCGCCGGAGAATTGATTTCGTATATAATCCTGAAAGGAAAGTGGTTTCTTTTTAAAGAGCACTTTTCTGTGCATTTGGGGTGAGACGCCGAAGCATCTAGGATTGGAATTATTGATTACTGGGACTGACAGTTTTCGGGGGTCACCTGTCACTCTGATGCCATCTGTCCCCACTTTTCTTTCTCCCTTGAACAGTTTTCACTCCCATTGAATTATGTCCCATAGAATGGGGAGCAGGAGAATTAGGCCGATTTTCTCCCCCTAAATGTATGCAGGTGTGTGTGTTGCTGTTTTCTTTGAGGTAGTAGGGAGGTTATTAAATGTAAAGGAAAACTTTATTGGTCGAATATTACAGCATAAATGCCTCCTCCTTTTTTTCTCTTGTCCAAAGACAAACTTGAGATGGGTTGGTGGTAGTTTTTAACGTGCCCTTGGCAAGAACACTTCATTTTAAGAGCTTGCTAAAACTTTAGAAGTGCAGTAACATTTTTACATCAAAATAAATTGAAATAGTTCTCATTTTCCCTCATTAGGAATAAAATTCGAATTCTCAAAATTAAGTTGTTTACCATGTAAATTACCTGATTACAATGCTCCTCTCCCTCTGCTCCAGTTCACGGTTGTTGTTTTTTGTACTGTAGTTGATGTTGGCTGAAGGTTTTCTCTTATTTGTGTGTTTGTGTTTTAGCAGTCTATGTTGAATATAGGGAGTTGCTGTGAGTCAGAATTCATCCTACTGTCTGTGGATTGGAAAATGAAAGTGTGATGCATTGAAAGAGTCATACTTACCCTCCGTTTTTGAAAGGACCAAACATAGTGCTGCAGATTGTCAGGGGAAACACTATAATGGAATATGAATATAGACACTATTTCAGTTTAGACTTATCCTTGATACTATTAACTGGAAGCTTACATTAAAATAAGAATGAGAGGTTGAGCTTTAGTGGTTATAAAAGAGCCAGATAACTAAGCCCAGTGAAGTTCAAATGATTGTGGCAAACACTTACTGCACAGATTTTAACTTTACGGTTTATAACTAAGGTTCATTTATTTATTTTTAAACTGGGGACTCACATTGTTACACACACACACACACACACACACACACACACACACACACCCATCTTGGTACTTACACTTTGTAAATGTAAGAGGATTACTGCATGTGATCCAGGAAACCTATGAGACAGAATAGTTCTGTAGAGGCATTTGGCATGTTTTAAGATTCAAAGTACATTTAGATTTACTCAAACTTAAGCAGTAAGCAGGTTTGCTACATGAACAGTAATTGACATAATTGTTGCCTTAGACACGTGTTCATGTCTCTCCTCATTGAGCAGAATTCAGGTTTTGGTATTCCTAAATTTTCATCTGTTGTTGGATGCCATCGAATTGATTGTGACTCATGTCACTGTGACACAGAGTAAAACTGCCCATAGATTTTCTTGGCTATAATCTTTGCAGAAGCTGATCACTAGATCTTTCTACCACAGAGGACCTGGGTCGGTTCCAACGCCCACCTTTTCTCAGCAGCTGACCCCTTAACCATTGTGCTACCAGAAGAACCCCAAACTCACTGCCATCAAGTTGGTTGCAGTTCATGGCAACCCTTTCAGACAGGGTAGAACTGCCCCTGGAGCTTTCCAAAAAGCAGTAAATCTCTACAGGTGGTTGCAGGAAGCATCATCTTTCTCCCGAGAAATGGCTGGGGGCTTCAAACTGCTGACCTTGAGCAACCCAACAGTTGCACTATGCCACCTGCACATTTTAATTGACCTTGAAAGCAGTTAGGTTGCTATGTTTTCTAGAACTCATTTCAACTACAGAGCTAAGGACTTCATTAAAAGTTAAAGGTGATAGCCAAGCAATCAGTGCCTTTCAGTTGAATAATTCATAACACAGTCTATTGACATAACAATTAATCTGGGTCTGGTTAATTATATAACATCTGGAAAACTCACACCCTGGATTGCGGCCTTTTAGGCCAGAGACACTGTGCTAAATAGAGTTCTGATGCGTTTGCATTCACAAATGAGGCCTTCGTAAGGCTAAAACCACTTAATAGCTATTGTTATTCCTGATAGCGTATTAGAAAAATGATACCTTTCATTGGTTGTTAATCAGCACTGTGATTGTGGGTGATATTTTAGGTCATTTAATGCTGTAGGGGTGACATGATTGATTTTTTATTGCTTTGTTTTGTACCAGGCTAACGTTTCAGAATATTTGGCATAGCCTGGAAATGGGTCAGATTAGGTGAGGACAAGATTTTATGACCGCTTGGATCAAAGTCCAGAAACAGAAGTTTCACTCTCCCGTGGAGTTTTCTATGACAGATTTTTAGTTGACGGCGCAAAGCTGTACTGAATTAGTTGAGGTTCCTGGTCCTGTTTTTGAGATTCTACTTCTTATTAATTTTTTTTCATTTGCAAAGCAAAAGTGTTTTTACTATTATGAAGTATTATATTAAAATCAGAGTATGGTTATAAAATACATGTTACTATCCCCTTAAAAATCATTGTTCCATAATTATACAGAAATACAAACGCACTACTTTGAGGCAAATGATTTGTTAAGCACCGTGTGTTAAACATTTTGTAATATTGAAAACAATGTCCTCCGGGTACTGATGGAATCTGGCTTTGTCATTGTTCATGATCTTTTTATGGAGGTAATTCTAGTGTAAGAATGCCCTTTATCCCTTGGATTTATAGCTAGGATCCATAGAGCCAACTCTAAACTTCCTTTTAGTACCCTGGAAGCACGCATGTGGATTGTGTTCTTCCTCCCTGGAGGAAGCCCAGGAGCTCTAGACAAGATGTTTCTCAGCACCCTTTTCTCCTGAGATGTTCTGGGATTTTCGAATGCAGACCCACTCAGAGCCTGAAATACAGGATCACGAGTCCTAAAAATGTGGTAAAAAAATGCAGTGGCAATTGCTCTTAGATGGATATCTCAAAATGAATCCAGTTGCTTGCAACCGGCAGACTTAAATAGGCTCAGTCAGCTTCAGCAGGATTCTTTTTTTCCCCCCTTTCTTTCTTTCTTTTTTATTTGGTTGCAGTTTGGGATCTAAAGATCTGTAGAAATTGGCAAGAGTTTTACAGATTATGCATGCCTTTCATGCCCTAAGATTATCAGATACTTTAGCATTTTGACAAAGGCTGAGCAGCAACATTTTTTTCCTTGAATAATCTACCTAAAATAACTGTTTTGACTTCCGTCGGTTTTTTATTTTTTAAGTGTTTGAAACTTCTTTCA